TTTCTTTTCGTCATAGTCAACTATAGGTCCTTTTGTCCATATGGCAGTGTAAATTAAACTAGATCCACTTTCTGTTAATTTTTCTACATTTTCAAATTGATTATAAGGTATCAATTCGATAATTTGACGCGGAAGTGATGATTTTATTTGAGATTGTTGAATGAAATTGTCAACAATATCGTTTCCAGATGTCCAAGCGTTGAAAAGACTCTGTAAGTGTAGACTGATACAATTTTCGCCAAATTTATTTGAATATCTTGTCGACTTACATGTTTTACATTCAAAAGGTTTACCACATTTATATAATGCATTTTATAATTCAAATACATAAATATATCTTTCTATACAATGTTCGTTTTTTTTCTATTTCGGAAATTGTTTATTTCTATTGCCTAATTGTAAAAATATTCTTTTCTCTATCAGGTATAGTTGAAATTGCAAATACCCTTCTTTCTGGGTGACAATGATGATAGTAATTGATTTTAAGACATTTTATTGATTTTATACTGTTACATTTTATCGATTAAATAAAAATACGCCTCATCGTAATAATGAAGCATCAATTATCACCCCCACACATCTCGATTAGATCATTTAACACAGTAGTTGTAATTTTTTATTTGAAAGACTATTGTATTTTTAAATTTGACTTCTAAAAATAATTTAACAATAACATAATTTAATTAATTGAATTTTAATTTTAATGGTTATTTTTCAAATGATTATCTGATGATTGAATTTAAATGTTGTTATCAAATAATAATAATAAATTTCAATAAAATATTCTTTGTAGTTAACATTTTTTACAGTAAAAAAATTTTTCGTTGCAATTAAAAGTTGTTAAAAATATTAAAAGCCTTTAAAAAAAATGGTATTTAAAAATAAACCATGATTATTATTTTCCAAGTCTGAAAACATTGATTGTACAAAAAAAATTGTCAACATTTTTTTGTTTCATCCCACTAGTAGGTTATATAATAATTCACATAATTTCATTTTCACATACAACAATAACAAACATGTGTTGCAAAACTTTAATTAAACTGGGATAAAAGTTATAAATAGGCTGAATATTTCTACATCTAGAAATATATTTAATAAAATTAATAAAGAAAGTTAGATTTACCACCTTCAGACAAATTTTTATAAAAATATATTCAATGTAATGAATGAAGCATCATCATCTTTTCAGACCAAAATTCAAATGGTTTAAATATTAATCGTGAATGGCTAACTAAATTCAATTGGTTGATAAAAAAAGCAATGTTTTGTAAAATTTGTAAAATACATAATAATAAAGCCAGTGCTACAAAAGGTATTTTATTTTCTTTAATAAAAAAAATTCAGCATTTTTTTAAAACTTTCTGGCAAAAATCCTTCAGACTAGAAGCCTGAAACCTGATCGGTGGATTTTTTCTGTAGATAATGATTCACCAAAAATTGTATTAGCGAAGGACCCCAGATTATTATTATAACATCTGATTTTGATAGTTTTTTGGGTAAAGTTCTAATAAGTGGTGTGGCTATTTGGGTATAGCAGAAAATTTTTATTAAAAGTCATATCCAACCAAAATCAATCAGGTAAAGCAATTTTTATGTATGTGAAATTACGGGATAAAGCAAAAATTTTAAAGTAGGAAAATAGGCAAGAGTTAAATTGTAATTGATATAAATAAATTTTCTAGACTCTGCTTATTGTTATTGACAAAAATTTATTTTCACAATTACTTTGATTAGATATGATTTTATTTTTATTTTTTTTTTATAAAGGCAATTATCCTGCTCATATAATTTTATTAGAATAAAGTAAATATAATAAAAATAATTCACAAAATAAATTCCAAATTAACTT